AATGGAACATACCAGAAGGGTCCAGTGTACCTCTTTTGATTGCTGAACTTTTCCGTTCTGCTATTAATTTTTTGGATTTCAAATTCTGTGTGCCACCATGTTTGTTTTTACAAAGCTTGATGGGAAATTATGAGGTCACTGTGCAGTTGGATGTTTTTAAAATACAGCGTTGCATGAGTCTAGCGATATAAAAAATGCTTCTGTATAATTTGTTCAAAACAATGTCATAAATTACCACAGTGATTCCCCAGTGATTTAAACTGAGAAACAAACACTTTCATGGTTTGAACCCAGGGGTATCAGAAGTATAATAATCATAATCATAATCCTTTAATCAATCAGAATCATAATAAAAATTATTATTTGTGCAGTGTGATCATCTGGGTGAGAGTAGTTGTGAAAAGAACTGTTGTTGGTATGTGTCTTGGGGTCTGTTGGCATCACTATTTCTCTCAGCGCACTCGCATTCAGTCAGTCTCATGTTAAGGGTTCCACCAGTCTAGCCGACATTAGAGAATTTCTTTGCATATGATCCCTTGGACTCCATCAATCATTGGTCAGTCCTTGGGGTTCTTAAGTATCTGAACTTATGTTCTTATTGGTCTACAAGCTGGCTGAATGTGAAATTTTTGAAAGACATGACCACCCAATGAGATGCACCCTTCTGAATCTGTAGGATTATTACTTAGAGATTATATTGTATCATGAAAGAGAATGTCTTACCAGCCAATATTTAGTCGGCATAATTTTCACATGAAACCTTCCATGAGAGGAAAGGTGTCCATGAAGTAGTCTACTAGATTGACGATAGGTTGTTAATTTTTTTTGCAGCCTTACTGAATCCCCAGGTGATGATGCATTTGATGTTAAAATTACTAGTTCAAGCGGACGAGTTAGAACATGGGTACAGAAGTTGGATAGGCAGGATGGTTCATTCATTGTACGCTATCGACTATTTGCATCATATCCAGATCTTACAATTCATGTTACCTACAAAGGCAAGAGTGTTGATAGTTCACCATACAGATTACACGGTAAGGGTACCGAATGATCTTTACTTATTATTATTTTTGAGAGGCTGTTGTGATGGTTTACTGGGTTGTCTTGGCTAAGCTGCTTTATGCAAGCTAAGTTGTACTCATGTGGAGCGTTTGAAAACAATTTTTCCAATGATAACTAAATGGTAGAAAGGAGCAAAAACTGGAAAGGCTATGTTTTTGACAGGGAGTCCTCAAAAATAAGACAAGCTCAATGACATACACTGTAACAAGATTTATTGTAATTACTGATTATAAATCTATAACTTATGGCAGTAAATTGTAACTAGGAACAGAAACAGAACCAAACTGGAAACAGAAAATGCACATCGTGAGGGATGGTTTTATAATCACAAGCTAGTTGCATGGGTCATACATGTATTGGGAAAGTTTTAAAGGGACAGTGTCACAATCTGCACATCATGGTGCAGGATTGCTTTTACCATATGGGCTTAAAAGTCTTTTCTACAGGAAATATTTAACTGTACTGTGTTCTTGTAGAGCTAGGAGAAAATAGAATGAAACTAAAGTATTTTTAGGTCACTTTGCATTGAATTATCTTTAAATCATCCCGTGTTTCCAGACCTGTCAGGTACAGTACCGCCTGAAAGTAATCACCCATTTCCTGCGTTCTCGCTGCGGGGCCTCCATGCGTCATTGACACGGTATTCCCACAGTCAACCTCGTCTTTACCTAGGTAAACCCGAGGATGGTATTCGTCCTGCCGCTGCAATGTTTGGACGAGGTATTACCTCGGTACAGAAGACATGTAACGTTTGGATAGCATTTTGTTTTCTGTTGCTTCGCAACAAAGCGTGCTTGAATGCTCAGTCTTGAATCTCTGCATTTTCATCGCAAAGAAGCATTTGATAAAGCCAATCATTCATGTCAGTTACAAGATTGATAGCGCAAAAAAAAAATTGTTAGTTGCATTGTATGAACTTCACCAAAAATATCTGTAACTTGGTAAAATATACATGTAGTGTGTCAGTTCTTAAACCCTGTGTTTTAAAAGCATTCCATTTTGCCAAGAAGAATGCGACAGAGCATGTGATTTCATGTCCACGCATCATGCAAACGACCGGGAAACAACTAAATGCTAAAGGCTGGAATGGCTCTGAAATTCACTTTGAAAGAAAAGAAACTGGGGCAATACATTTAACTTCAATTCCGATTTATTTTGTTGCCATAACACCATCCGTACTTCTCTGTTTATATGCCCTGCGCTTTGTAGTGGGCAGTTACAAAACCGGGTCAACTCCGATCGCTGATTTAAATAAAACAGCAATTGCTGTTTATGCTGCGTTCTTGTATACATGTAGCTGTCATCGTATCAGTGATCCAAGTTTTACTGGTCCAAGTTTTGTCTCTGGTTCCTTGCACCCGATCGAGATGTTAGCTTATGAAATGTAATATTCGTGGAACCTGCTTCAAGTTCAAATATTTTCTCAGGAGACCAAACCGTGAATAAGAGAAACCTTCATTGGCTTTTTTACATCTACCTAATTAATAACAGCACTCCAAACGTAACATAACTTAGCACAAAATGAAAGCAAGAACGTATCACCAAACCAAACTGCCATTTATCGCACAGCTCGTTTTGCTTGAGTGCGTTGGTGACATGTTGCTGACATGTGATCAAAACATAGGTGAAACTACATCGTCAAACAAAGTCTCCTGCTTTGAACATGGTTTGCTCTTTGGAGTAGGTAAAATTGAGAATCTTAGCTAATTTTTACACTAAATTTCAAAGTGTGCCAGTTTGTGCGTGAACCGAGTCGCAGAGGGATTAAAATCACGCAGAAAACTGTCAGGAAGTTCTTCAAAAAGTTCAGAGATGAATTAAGACTTTTTGCGTTGTGCGATTTACCACGTTGTGGCCACCACTACTGGTAATTACTACACGCTCCAGTTTTTAACCCTTGAGTTTGTGTAGACCACTCGAATGTGGTTAGATCAATTTATAAACTCGTGAGTGTTTTGCAAATCGAAAACCTGTTAGTCGATCAAGTATTATTAGCCGCTTTGTAATTTGTCAAATTACTTTGTGGCAACCATGAAATTCGCCTGGTCCTACGGTTTACTTACCGCTAAATTTGGGGGATGGGTAATGGACTGAATCGCGAACGAGATGCTTGTTAAACAATGGTCATAATAGCTTTTGGCATGCGATATCTTATAAGATGTATCTCGGCCACTGTCTTCATTGAGGGCTCAGTGAGAAAGTAGCAACCTCCATAGGTGGTCGCGATAAGGCTTGTTATTTGGCTTGTTAGGGCCGATTTACACAATACGACTTTGTCGCATGCGACAAGTTTACGACAGGGCTATGACATGATATTGTTTTGTGTAAATCAAACCTACAACTCACTTACGACTGTTGTGTACGTCAAAAAAATTGTCGTAGGATTTTGAAACATGTTTTAAAACCCCATGACAATCGTAGCCGAAATCGATAGAAAATGACGTCTTTTGTGACATAGTTCTACTGAGTAGGGGACAAAGGAGAAGTTTTCTTGTGTCAAAATGGCGGACGAAGTTGTTGTTGACTGATTCACATGAAGTAGTTTCTCGAAAAGTACTGAATGGATTAAAGCAAAAAACATCTAGTTAAAAAGTTTCTTCAAAGCGCAGGACAGCTAAATTATTTGTTTACCGTTTGTTAGAACTTTCGCTCCGTAAATCCTGATGCAAACTTTTGCATATTTAGCTTTGTAAGTGAAAATGGTCCTAATTAAGTCATTGTAATGTTACGCTATTTGAGAGCGTTAACAAACAAACAGTCTTTATAAGAACTACAACTCCATGTTTAATTCAACACGGCAAGCACATGGTCCGAGATTCATGTGACTACGCATGATGTCACACCTTTCCTTTTCTCAAAAAGACAAAAGTTAGAATTAATAAACTTAAACGAGCTTATGACATACAAGCTTTCCACGATGAACGGAATGAGTAAAGTCAATGTCTCTAAATGTCTCTAAAAGAACTACTGAAAACTGAATGTCTGTCTGTTAATGTGATTTAAACTTTGCCTGGTAACAATGAAACAACTTAGGCAAATGATCATTTTCTAAAGTCCTTATAACAAAGTTCTGTAAGTACTGTGGGGCCTGAGAAACTCATCCACTCCTGGTCACAACTGTTGGTTTAACTGGGTCTGCTGTTGGCTCCTGGCTTGGGGGAACTGTCACAGGTTCTGTTTGCGTGGGTTGACCAGCAAAGTTGTCTTGGACTGGTTGGCCTGTAAGCTGGGATCTTATTGGTTCAGCTGTGGCAGGCATTGTGTTAGGGTGGTTGTCCTGCGGTGGTCGCATTGAACTGGTTTCAGAAGTCTGAACAAATGGTTCCTTAGACTGGCGGAGGTGTCTACGATTTCTTCTGTACAGTCTGTAGTCTTCTGTTCTGACTTTGTAAGAACGGATATCAATCTGGTCTTCCACTCTTGCCTTAAACCATTTCCGCTTTCTGTCGCCTGGTTTAGTGGCTACTCGGATGACTTCTCCAATCTGTAAAGGCGGAAGCTCCTTGGTGTTTTGATTGTAATACTTGGCTTGTTTGGACTTCTGCTTGAGAAGTTTCTTCTTCACATCTTCTTGGACCTTTGGCTTTAACGGGTAACTGGTGGTGGGAAGCAGTGTTCTTGTTCTGCGTCCAAACATTCTTTGGGCGGGGGAGCTAGACATTTCTTCAGAAGGAGTGTTTCTCCAGTCAAGCAGGTATAAGTAGGGGTCTGTGCCTGCTTGCTTAGCTTTCTTCATGATGGATTTTGCTGTCTTGATAGCATTTTCAGCCTTGCCATTGCTCTGGGGATAGCCAGGTTAACTTGTGATGACTCCAAACTCGTAGCTGGCTGCAAACTCTCTGAATTCTTGAGAACTGAACAGCATGTTACTGATTAGCTGATTTGGGATTCCATGGACTGAAAACTGCTTGCGGAGTATCTTAGCTNAGTGCTACAGACGTCACAGTTTGAATGCACAAGTTTAATCATACTGGGCGTAAACACGAGAGAAACAAAAGTGATCAGGGGTGTGTGATGTGTGTGGCTCAAAAAACTGTGGCAACTCGAATTCTAGAATTTGTACTTCAGGGCTCACACAACAGTGAAGCAGCTAAGGAAAAAACACGGTAGAAACCATCATAAAACTTTCAGCGCTAACAAGCACTGGCGAAAAATGAAAACACAAAACTCCGCATAATGAAAAACGCTGAAGTATTACAGAGTGGGTTGCATAATTCCCAGGGATCACGGAAAAACGTGACACCCAAAAGCAAAGAAAGTTCTAGTCGCTACAGGCACAAAAGTCCTACAGGAGCGATTTTTCGTTCATACTGGACCACACTAAGAAGCTACAGTTGCTCTCAAGCAGCTCTTGCACTTCTTTCGTGATCTTCAAACTTCCCGCGTGTATCCATAACTCAATACACGCATGCTAAGCATGAACCAATTCTTTAGTAGTCAAAAATGGGTAAAATTATTGTCTTGTAGAGGTGTTTAGCTGCAGCCATGGGAATAAAGATTCTCAAGTGCTTAAAAACACCCAATTTCTGCGAGACTTTGTGGACTGTGCTCAATATGGTTGTAAAAATTCAAGTGCTTATCAATTAGGACTCTGAGATATTTGAAAGGAGATCCATTACAGACAAGATTACACGATCCTCCTCCTTTAGCGTTTGGTGTGAGCCTTAAATTACATATTCAGTTCCAGTTCCAGTGATAGGTATCGGGTTTTGCATCACTCAAGCTCCATTTGGAATAACTCTGGTGATGGAAGGTTGTCACTCTATTTAGTAATAGGGATATTAAGATACAAAGACAGGAAGGCCAGGATGGGAACAGCAGTGGACGTGGGAAACTTTTGCGGATCCCGTGGTGTTGCTAAAGACTAAGTGCTTAAGATGTGTATTTTCATACTGGACAGCAACGTCAATAACTTGAGCTTCGTAAAGCTATTCACAAAAGCAATGACTTCCTTTAGACTAAAGAGATGGTGGAAATCTTATCCTATTAAGCTAAACGATGGAAACTGATGGTGAACAGTCAATGCTGAATTGATACTTCTTTATAAGCGAAGCAAACATCTCTGTCAGTATTTCTTTGTAATAAAGAAACCAGAATTTACGTATGGAAAAATTAAATGAACAATCTGATCGACCTACTTCATATGGCTTTTAACCACTGAGCGTTTGAGGACTTTGAGAATCCTGTTGCCAGAGGATCCTGGCATTGGGTGAACATTTCAATTTGCATCTGTTATTGTAACAAGCATTCGAAAAATAAAACAAACATTACATCAAGTTCCCGGTAGTTAAAAAAAAGCAATAACAACAACTAAACATCAGTTTGAAAATGTGCATTTTACTTGCTTGATAGATACTTTCATGGCACTCATTCTTACAACATTTTATTGACTGTAGTTCCACTGATGTATTCTCAATGCACGCAGTTAGTATTTCGTTTTGAGCTTACACACTTGTGACAGTGACTGAACAGTGACTGCAGAAACACAAATGAACCGACCAGGAGTATTTTTATTCTATTTTTTTCATATTTCAGTGTAGTATTTCTACACTAGAATCACGGAAAATGTGAACCTAATAAACACTTTCATCGACATAACTAAAAATATGGTCAGTTGGATCACTTGCCAGGGCAAAACAAGAGCAAAATATTCATGTTTTCCACATGATGGCAAGTCGGGCAAAATGGGGTCCCCGACGAGACGATGACAGCAGAGAAATGATTTGAGAGTTCTCATGCGCATGCCGGTTGAGTAAATTTACTTCTGGTAGCTGTCCTAGTTCGTCCCATCCTGGTATCTTAAGATGCCTAATGTATTGTGTAAGACGACTTTGATAGCATCTGACAATGTCATCTTGCAGGAAGAAGGTGCGGCTTCTGTTGCATTTATTTTGAGTGGTGCTATAGCTTTAGTTATTGAAACATAATTTCCTTGTTTAGAATAAAAGGAAAAAATGTTGTAGAAAATTATGTGAGTGAACCTGGGAAATTGACCAAAACAATTATTTCAATAAAAATCAGTTGCAGGTTGTGACAGCTCACAGCTTATTTTGCAGGAGGTGTGTACCATGAAACTTGCTTTTGCCCTGAATTGGATGGAAAGAGGTGGAGAGAAATTATGAATTGCCCGGAGAAGTACTCGCAAATAGAGAAGGATCTTTCACCCTTTGACCAAATAAACCTGGAGGAACTAGCAAAAGAAGCTGTTGGTCGGTTTGGAACTCATCATGCAATTTGTCATTACTCTGTTATTAATAACCAGGTTTGTAATACTGTGTAAGGTTCATTTTTCTGGGATTATGCAATTATTGCATAATCCCACATAGTCATCTGTGTAGTTTTTTTAGCAACAGTATCAACATGTAGGCAATGAAAAGCGTTGTGATGTGTTTTAATTTCGTGGAAAATTGTTGACGCCGCTCGAGACAACAGAAAGTTAACCAAAGTGAAAGTTTGATTTACCCTGTCATCAGGCATGGTTTAGGTAACCAAGGTTGAGATGACAGATACATCCACTTGTGGTCAGATGGTATCTCGCACCCCGTGGTGTCCAGATTACATCAATCTCATTCGGTCACTGAAAATCTCATTCGGTTTCTGACAATGTTTGTTTTCATGGCAAAAATCTATAAGAAATCCTAAAAAACTAAGACAAATCCAGACCAGCCACTCGGACAATATTTTTGAACATGTGTCTAAATAGTCTGAAGTTCTCTTCCCACCATTTTTCGATGAGATTGCTGTGCAAAAGGGTTTCAAACCAGAATTGGTTAGCGAAGTCATTAAAAGGGCTTCCTCTCTCAGCCATTTCTGAAAGTTGCACAGTTTTGGAATTTGAATCGCCTGGTTAATGAGTTAAATGAATGAAAACAGAAGTCATATGTAACTAGAGAATGTTGGTCCAGTTTTTCCGTCAGAGCGTGCCATTGCGGGAATCCTGCGTTGCAACCAGAGGTGGCTCCCAGAAAAACGAAGAAAGGCCAGTTTGGCCCTTTCTTTTTGCAAGACTACAGGCTTAACCAAGCGTAGTATTTTAAAAGCCATCCCAGGGCTCGAAATTGTGACTGATACGGTCACCAATGNCCTTTTATTAGTGCAGCAACTTTATATCATCATTAATTTATTGTGTATTGTTGTTTGACAGGTTACTGCTGCATGCTAAGTATGTTGCAGATACCTATCCAGAGTGTCATATTGTCTTACAATCACCAGACACGAATGTTCTCGCTCTCAGCATATCCCATTTTTCCGATATCAACTACACTGAATTTTGGTTCAAAACTGGCGTGAAAGACTGTCTCTGTTATGTTCCAGTTCATGACGTATCGCAAGAGCTTGGCGAAAAAATGTGTCGTGCCCTTCCGCCCTTACACGCCATTACTGGATGCGACTCCACCAGCGCCCTTGCCGGAATCGGTAAGAAAAAGGGATGGCAAGTGCTATTATACAATGAGCAGCATCAAGACAGTCTAGGTCTTCTAGGTTCCCAGCGAAACCTGAGTGATGGCATTGCCACCCAATGTGAAGCTTTCATCTGTGATCTCCACCCGAGCTCAAGGATGAAAGCACGCACTGTGGATGAGTTGAGGTATTTCCTGTTTTGTCAAAACAGAAAGCAGAAGAATGAGCTTCTTCCACCCACATCTGACAGCCTACTGCAACACTTGAAAAGAGTTAACTATCAGACTTTGTTTGGAGAAAGGCTCTGACTGCAATCCAGCATCTCCTGCAGCCCGAAAGTAATGGATGGGTGAGGGAAGACTCCTCGCTGAAGCCGGTTTACATGACAAAAGAGCCAGCTCCGAGTAGCCTGTTGGAACTGACGACTTGCACATGTCAGAGAGGGTGTCAGAGCAACTGCTCGTGTAACAACACAGGCTTATTATGTTCAGAGGCATGTTATTGCATGGCCAGCAGTGACATGTGTAGAAATCTGCACAGAGTTCTCTTAGACTTCGTTTCTGATTCTGATTCCGAGGACTCTGATTCTGAGTGAGAACAATACTCGTTATTATTAGTATTATACTCATAAATTCGAATATTGCAGTATCTTAAATCAGAAACGAAAAGTGGCAACATTTTCTTTCTTTTTCATTTATAAGTGATCGATAATTTTTAGTTTGTTGCCTCCAAGGGACTAGGCTTGTTTGCGTGCTAGATCTAAACTGATAAAAAGTGATATAAAGTAAACAGTTTTTATTTCCAAAGGCTTTGCTAAGATGATAGCAAGAGCAAAAGAAAGTTAATTTAATAAAGAAGGGATACATATTTCGTTTTTGTGGGGTTGTTCTTCAAAACATCCGCGAATGCACGTTTGTTAATAGTCGCACGTTTGTTACTAAGGTTTTCGATAAACAATTAAGAATAAAAAGCAGCGATATTAAAAATTGACGTTTTGACGGCTTTTTTGAGAATTTGAGAATGATTTGAGAATGATGGCATGGAGCTGTCGAAACGTCATTCCTTAATCTCGCTGCTTTTTATTCTTAATCATTTGCTACTGGTCACGTTTAAAATCACATGACTAATCATGTGACATATGTAACCACTTAAAAATGAAGTAGATGTATATTTAGTGAATTTAGCTTAAGTGGTTGATTTCGTTGATTTTCAAGAAATAGCGATGTAAACTGCGTTCGAGTGTGTAGCCTCGTTTCCATGCTGAGCCGTGGGTTGGGCAAGAAAACATCCCCTTAACTCGAAACCTATGCCACTATTCAACTTTACAAACTACCTGGCTTTGATCAGGAGGTCTTTCTCTACAAGAATCAGGTGTCAAACATTTTCTGTGGCGATGGTTGAACGAAACTCCCATTTTTCAGTTTCTGCTCCCTGACTAAAACAAAGACCCCTCAATCTGGACCCGCCAGTGGCGACTCTTCTGGACCCCATCTGGACCCCCATTTGGACCCCTATCTGGACCCCCTATTTTTCCTTCCAGAGAATACAGGCTCCTGATTTAAAATTTTTTTATTAATTAAACTTAGAACATGACACGATGAAGTCAGAAAAAATGAAAATGCATGAGAGCAGCTTACACAGTCACCAAAGTACTATATCAGTGAGCAAAATGTGAAGAAATAAATGAATTCATGCAGCGTAATTTCATTGAACTTAAACCAGGTTAATGGTCACCATGGAAATTCATTGAAGAACAGTAGATTTTGTAACTGAGTTAGGTTAATTTTAAACTACCTTTCTGCTTGGTCTGTAATAAAAGAAAGGACAACCAGGATAAAACTAAAAGATGTTTACTCAGTGAAATCTACATCGCAACTAACTACGAATATTTAAGTAGGTTGAAGTAGCAGGAGCGGGTCTCTAGAGAACCCACGTGCTGCTAAGTTATACAACCCAACGCATCTTATACAACACCCTCCCTTTTATAAATGAAAAAGAAAAGAAAATTACAAACCAACACACGAGCTGACTTGTACACAATATGCATTAAGCATGCATTAATGAAATAAACATACAAGCTCTACAATATGTTAGAAGGCTCCTGATTTAAATATATTTTTCAGTAATTAAACTTAGAACATAACACAATGAGGTCTATTTAATCAGTGAGCAAAATGTGAAGAAATTAGTGAGTTCATGCAGCGTAATTTCATTGAACTTAAATCAGGTTAATGGTCACGATGGAAATTAATTGAAGAATAATAGATTTTTTAACTGAGTTAGGTTAATTTTAAACTACCTTTCTGCGTGGTTTGTAATAAAATGAAGGACGACCAGGATGAAACAAAGAGACGCTTAGTCAATGAAATCTACATCGCAACTAACCATGAATATTTAAGTAGGTTGAACTACATGTAGCGGGAGCGGGCCTCCAGAGAACGCACATGCTGCTAAGTTATACAACGTAACGCATCGTATTATAAACCCTCATTTTATTAATGAAAAAGGAAAGAAAAATTACAAACCAACACACTAGCTGACTTATACACAATCTGAATTAAGCATGTATTAATGAAATACATATTCAAGCTCTACAATGTGTTAGTCTTTAGAACAGTTTATGGCTTAGTCAAAAAAAAGTCACTAAAGTGCTTTGGTGGCCGTTGTTGACATTCAGATCGTCTTAGCACTGGCTTGGGTGGAGACTGCTGCAGTTGGAGCAACTTCTGGCCTATTCAGAGGAGCATTATTTTTCTCAACTTGATGCAGGTGGATTTACTTCTCTGTGAACGGTAGTTGGTAACTCATTGGACTGCAGAACAAGGGGAACAGACACCTCAGCAGAGGCCTGGTCTGACGATGGCGGTGACGGCTCATTTGTCTTTTGTAGGTGAACGCGGTTGCCATGAACCACATGATAGGGCATCTTGACCTCATACAATCTCTCATCCAGTCAACTTTGCACAATCCCTTTCTGCCATTCTCGCTGGCCCAGCTGAAACAGTTTTAGTCTTACTACATCTCTTCTGGAGGGATCCAGATCAACAGCACCTCTGTTGTAATACTGAGCCTGTCACTGTTTGAGCTTGGCTCAACACAGCTCTTGTCTGAAACTGCCTGCTCCTGGTCCTTCTGTCAAAGAGAGGCTCTGCTGGACTAACTTGAACACTTGCAGGCAGGGTGTTATGATGATTGAGTAAGGGTAGAAATGCATCTGATCCACTCCTCTGCACTTTCTGAGAATTTTCTTGCTTCCTTCACTGTGCTCTCTGTTTTGCCGTTACCCTGACTATAATGTGGGCTGCTCATGAGATGTTCAAAGTCCCATTCCTTCACAAACCTTAGGAAGCCACGTGATGTAAACTGTGAACTGTTATCAGTCACCAGTTGCTCAGGTATGCCGTGGTGCACAAAATGAGCATTTAACTTTCTGATGACACACACTGACGAAAGAGATCTCAGATGGTCAAACTCAAAGAAATCACTGTAGTAATCTGAGGTTTTTCCTTCAAACTTTAACAGGTTGGCAGCAACTCATTACCAGGTCGAGTTGGCGTCTCAAGGGACATCATCGTTTCCTTAGCTTGATCTTGCTCATATTCTTGACAGGCCTCGCAGGTTGACACATAGTTCTTAAAAGGGCTAGGTCACGCTATTTTAGGCAATTTTGTTTAATTTTGTTAATTATGAGCTCTAAATGTCAAATTTGCAGAGCAAGAGACTTTTGTTTGGAAAATCATGGCCTCATAACAACTGAGAATGATTTTGCAGCTGTGTAAATGACATTTTTATATAAACTGATATAAATTTGAAAAAAGATGGGCTGGCGTTTTTCAAATTTACCCAAATGCAATTCATTTT